AAAAAAAAAAAAAAAAAGATTGGATCGTGTAATATAATTATGTCAATTAACTTATAAACAGTGAATTGCTAATATATTTAAGTCATATGTTTAGGTCACTGATTTGACATTGGCAAGGGAGAACCAAACTAATTTCGAGGAGTATCTGAGCAATAATCCACAAGCTAGTCCGGGGATCGACTTAACTGTTACTGTTTTGACGACTGGTTTTTGGCCAAGCTACAAGTCGTTTGACCTCAATCTGCCCGCAGAGATGGTACGCATTGGTTTTTGCTCTGTATACTTTGGGTACACATATGTTATGGTGTATGCGATAGTTTTTCCTGTGCCTTGAAACTTGTAAGACTTTGATGTATCAAACTATTTGTTCTATTTGTTTCAGGTAAAATGTGTTGAAGTTTTCAAAGAGTTTTATCAAACAAAAACCAAGCATAGAAAACTTACGTGGATTTACTCATTGGGTACATGTAATATCAGTGGAAAATTTGAACCAAAAACGATGGAACTGATTGTGACAACTTATCAGGTAACATGCTTGGAAAAGTTGTTCATACCTCTAATTGGCTTTCCCTAAAAGATATTGTTGTTGATATGATAAATTCTCTGCGGTACTAATTATGTTGTTAAATCTATAGGCTTCTGCCCTGCTGCTATTTAATTCCTCAGATAGATTAAGTTACTCCGAAATCATGACACAATTAAACTTGGGTGATGATGATGTTGTTAGACTACTCCACTCATTGTCATGTGCCAAGTACAAAATTCTTAACAAGGAGCCAAGCACGAAGACCATCTCTCCCAATGATCATTTCGAGTTCAATGCGAAATTCACTGACAAAATGAGGAGAATCAAGGTATACTGGCAGCATCATCGTGTCGGTCGTTTTGTTTGGCATAATGAATGTGGTGTGTGATTCATTTTTGTTGATCATGTAGATCCCTCTTCCGCCTGTGGATGAGAAAAAGAAAGTAATTGAAGATGTCGACAAGGATAGAAGATATGCTATCGATGCTTCAATTGTGCGTATCATGAAGAGTCGTAAAGTTTTGGGTCACCAGCAGTTAGTGATGGAGTGCGTCGAGCAATTGGGTCGTATGTTCAAGGTTAGTTAGTAGTGCATATCACATCTCTTATTTTGCTTCATATAATGTCACTTTTCTCTCCGCTTCATATTGACTGGAACATGAACACGATGCAGCCTGATTTCAAGGCGATTAAGAAGAGAATCGAAGATCTGATCACCCGGGACTATCTAGAAAGAGACAAAGACAACCCCCACTTGTTTAGGTACTTGGCTTGATCTTAATCTTTTCATGGGTGAGAGTCGTGGCCGGTGCTATTCGAGATAGCACGAAAGGCTCATGTTGTAAGCGGCACAATCACGAATATGCTACTGTAGGTAGCCTCTGTGATTCGTGAGCCGTGTTTTCATGAAATGTTAAAACCAGGAGCCCGGTTGTCTGTACATTTTGCCATCCGAACGAGGTTAGAGGCAAGCGCTGTCACAAGGTTCCGTGTCTGTACTTCGGGGGGTGATAATATCTGAGCTTTTTTTTTTTTTTTCTAATATAAAATGGTCCGATAATTCTATGAGTGGACCCTTCTTAGTAAGTGTATTACGAGAGGTCGTGTCGAAATTGGGATGCAATGGGCAGTGTCACAGATGCATTTATGTGCTGTTTTAATTGGAGTGGTTCTGTTCTTTTTATTTTAATTTTTTTTTTTATGAAATATGCTTTTAGATTTGTGGTTTGCAGAGTAACGCAGCTATCATTTCTTTGATAGAAAGGTGTTCTGTTAATTTAAAGATAACTCAAGAATTGAAGATTGAGTTAAGATCTCGATCTCGATAAAGTAGTTTGATCGAATCATGTTGCAATAAGCCAAACAATTTCAAGCTTAATCCAATTTGAGACGTTGGAACTTTTGTTAATCTTTCTATCGATGACCTCAAGAAATACTTCTTATCAGGTTGTTTCCGATAAAAGGAGCTTTTGTTATTGTTTGTTTAATGTGAAATTGCTAAGAATCCGATATTTGAACGTTGGTAGTGTTAAAAGATTTCCTTCTAGTTTCTGCATCGATGCCGCTGACGAAGCAAAAAGACAAGAAATCCAAACGATTCCCTTCAAGCACTTAAACGGAGCTGGAGAGATGCGTTTATAGGCGACGATGTTATAGCCTGCATGCGTCTTCGTCCTTCATGAGGAAGAAGTCGATGACATGGCGAGTTCAATTGAACTAGCCATGTCAAACCAAAACTCCACCCTTCTTCCGTTTTTGCTCAAATTTAACACTTTCTAGATAGGTTCTCTGAAGTAATTTATGTTCCGAAAGCTCGAAAACAGAGGACCCAAATGTCGACGACGAAATAAGTAATCATCTTAGACTTTTTTCAAAAAAATACCCGTAGGAATCACTTGTATTTTAGTATAAACCTTAACTATGCAGGAAAAAGAAAAGTGGTCTATATAAAATATCAACTCGTAAGAAGGAAAGAAAACAGAGACATAATATGGGAGATAAGGCTTTTGCTCTCATGTTTTCATGTTTGAAGGTAATGATTGGACCTGCGAATTGGTTCCTCTTCGCTTAATGGGTTAGTTAAAAACAATACAAAAGTAACACAACACAAACCATTTTTGGCTGATGTTGAAACGAAGTCTTCCTTTTGCCCTCAACGAACGGCCGCCTTTGCAAACCATTGAAAATCTCAGTCACCATCTTCGAAGCTGCAAGGATTTGATATCTTCAACCTCCATTCACTCCATAGCCCTTAAGCTTGGATTCTTAAACCAAACTCTCACCGCCAACCATCTCATCAATTGCTATGTCAGATTCCGTAGAGTTGCAATTGCACACCAATTGTTCGACGAAATGCCTACCCGAAATGTTGTCTCATGGACCTCGCTTATGGCAGGATACGTCGACAATGGTCAACCGAGTATCGCTCTATCGCTGTTCGGGGCAATGTCGAGAACCTCGGTTGTGCCCAATGACTTCACTTTTGCAACCGCAATCAAGGCCTGCTCGATCCTGTCGAATTTAAGAGACGGTGAAAAATTCCATGCCTGTATGGAGATTTTTGGTTATGGAGGGAATGTTGTGGTGTGTTCTTCGCTTATTGATATGTATGGGAAGTGTAACGATGTTATTCGAGCCAGGAGAGTATTTGATTCCATGTCTTGCAAGAACATTGTTTCTTGGACTTCAATGATCGCTGCTTATGCTCAGAACGCACATGGCGACGATGCGTTAAAACTATTTAGGGAGTTCGGTAGCTCGAGTTGGGAACGTCCAAATCATTTCATGTTGGCTAGTGTGATTAGTGCTTGTGCATGCTTGGGCAGGTTGGTTGCGGGCAAAGTCGTGCATAGTGCAGCGATTCGTCTTGGCTGTGATTCGAACGATGTCGTTGCTAGCGTGCTGGTTGATATGTATGCTAAATGTGGGAGTCTCGAGTATTCTGATAGGGTCTTCAAAAGAATTTTAAACCCTTGTGTTATTTCTTATACTTCAATGATTGTGAGCACAGCAAAGTATGGACTTGGGAGACAGTCCCTTGAACTCTTTGAAGAAATGGTGAGAAAAGGGTTGAAGCCTAACCATGTCACTTTTGTTGGTGTCTTGCATGCTTGTAGCCATTCAGGGCTTCCTGATGAGGGCCTTCATTATTTGACTTCCATGTATGAGAAACATGGGATAATGCCTGAGACTAAGCATTATACGTGTGTCGTCGACATGCTAGCTCGAGCAGGCGAGTTAGATAAAGCATACCAGCTAGCAAAATCCATGAAGGCAATGCCTGACGACGACCAGGCGCTGTTGTGGGGAGCGCTACTTTCGACTAGTAGGCTTCATGGGAGGGTAGATATTGCAGCTGAAGCCTGTCAGCGACTGGTCGATGCCAATAGACAAGTCGCGGGTGCATACGTCACTTTGTCGAATGCGTATGCATCGGCTGGGGATATGGAGAAGGCTCAGAGACTTCGAGTTGAGATGAAGCATAGTGGTGTCTATAAAGAACCGGGCTGCAGTTGGGTTGAGATAAAAGATTCGAGTTACGTATTCTATGCTGGGGATGTTATGTCGTGCCCACGAGGCGACGAAGTGTTGCGTTTACTACGAGAGTTGGAACGGAAAATGAAGGACCGAGGCTATTCGAGAGGGAGCAAGGGATTGGTGTTTGTTGATATTGAAGAGGAGGCAGAGGAAGAGAAGGTTTGGTTGCACAGTGAGAGATTGGCATTGGGGTTTTGTTTGATTAGCATTCCTGAAGGACTGACCATAAGAATGATGAAGAACTTGAGAATGTGCAGTGATTGTCACGAGGCTTTCAAGCTTATAAGTGAGATTGTGGAGAGAGACTTTGTAGTTAGAGATGTCAACAGATTTCATCATTTCAAAACTGGGTATTGTACTTGCAATGATTTCTGGTAATTTCTTAGGAATTTAAAAAAAATGCTATGTTTTTTTTGAAGTGTTTTTTTTTTTTTGAAGTTTTTATTGGATAAAGAAGCACACCACACGTTCACTTTCATCGTATACACAATTGCTTTGAACCATGCAATAACGTCACTCATAACACAGCTCTCTCGAGTATAGCATTTTCCACAGGAACATTGTAACAGCCCAAGCCCACCGCTAGTAGATATTGTCTGCTTGGACTCTTATGTATTGTCGTCAGCCTCAAGATTTTAAAACGTGTCTGTTAGAGAAAGGTTTTCGCATCCTTATAAAAAAATGATTCGTTATCTCTCCAACCGACGTGGGATCTTACAATCTACTCTCTTACGATCTCACAATCCACTTCTTTGGGGGCTCATCGTACTCTCTGCACACGGCCCAATGACTGGTTCTGATACCATTTGTAACCGCTCAAGCCCACCACTAACAGATAACTCCCTTACGGTCTTACAATCCACTTCCTTGGGGGCTCATCGTACTCACTGGCACACCGCCCAGTGACTAGTTCTAATACCATTTGTAACAGCTCAAGTCCACCGCTAACAGATATTATCCACTTTGACCAGTTCCGTATGTTGTCATCCTCATGGTTTTTAAATTTTAAAACGGCTAGGGAGAAGTTTCTACACCGTTATAAGAAACGTTTCATTCTCCTCTCCAACCGAGGTGGGATATCACAAACATCCCCAATCAATCATTATATTAACTCATTAAACTATGTTCAAAATCAAGAGTCTACCCACCACAAGAATTCAATGTGCATATTCACAACATAACAGTCTAAAAACACCCAAAAAATGAGAAGAAAAAAAAAGAGTGCTTTCAAGTATAATTTGTACATCTGAATGAAAATGGTTTGCCAAATAAGCAGAAACCACTTTTTTTAAATTGAGCTCCACTTTTAGGAGCTAAGATATTAAGCATTTACATGACCCACAAATGGGTGAAAGAACAAAAAAATCTCAACTCAAGAATAATTATTAAAAAAAAAAATATATTACATTTCGAATTTTCTACTCGATCTCGCTTTTTTGTACACAAGTATTGGTAAGTAACGAACTATGTAAGTTTCCTAACCAGTTATCAGGATGAAGTCAGTTTCAGTGAGAGACCCTTACCTTTCTCAACTGATCACCTCATGGAAGAATAATCCAAGAAAATAACTATTTACATGGCTCACCTAATCTCTACCACCGCAAAAACTTGACTGAGTTACTGTCTGCATAGCAACCCGAACCAACTCTACGAGTTCCCCGACGTCTTGGAAACTGAAATCAATCACCTTTTTAACTGATGCAACATAGTCCACATGTTCTCTTTCAGTGGCACATGAACTAGCTGCTGCCACGAAGGCGCTTTGAGATTTCGCCGACGCCTCCATGGCTGAATTCATGTTGCGTGCCTGCAACACGAAAAAACAAATTCAAAATTATATTTCCAAGACGAAATAGGCATTGAGGATGGCAGGATAAACTTCCGATGTTTGATCTCACAAATTATTCGAGTTCGGGTAGAAATGAGAACTTACAAAGTCGAGGACTCGAGCAAAACTCGTGCAGTTTCCAAAATTCCAGATGTGACTTCCACCAACTCTGTCAGAGGTAATCTTGTCAATAACTCCTTGATTGCTGAAGTTATCGACATCTGATGCAGAAGAAGATGGAGATTCACCTTAAAGAAAGGAATTCATTGGAAGAGACATTGTTAATTAATTGACCTAGTGAAAGATAGAGTAAAGAGTTCCAATAAACCAATAAATATAGAGACCCTATTTCCGAGCAGGCAAGAGTACAACGTTTGAACCAAAAACGAAATTCATAGACGAAACTCGAGAATCCTAACGTGCAAAATGGTTCAAACACGAAATGCATAGACAAAACTTGAGAATCTTAACGTGCAAAATGTTGAGCTCCTGCTGAATGAATATCATATCTTTTCCCTATTACCTTGCACAATTGTACGAAACAACGATTGCATCTCGAGGCGATCTCCATTGACACTTGAGTGTTTATGGTAAACTATCCGCAAGTATGCTACTTCGATACATTTAAAAGCCAATGCGGCTGCAACCATTTCTCGGCGGCCTTGAAATTCAAGGGCACAGATCCTGTAAATGATTGAGAGTTTACAACTTAAAATAAGCCTAAAAGGAATTACAGCTTAAATAGACAAAAACAAGTGATCTAATGATCATTTTTTACTTACTCGCAAAGTTCGGCTGCAATGCCATAGAACTGCATGTGAGTCATATCACCATGCTTGTCGGTCGCATTGTTAGGAGTCTCTAAAAGGAATGCTCCATGAAGATACTTCAGAGCAGATTGAAAGTAGAGCTCATTACTTTCAAAAACGAATCCAGAACCCTATGGAACACATAAGAAAACAACTTTAGTAAGGATTAGAAACAGGTCCGATCTTATCAACAATGTTCAAAGAGAGTAGCAGCAATGAGGGAACCTTGAGGTTATCTGCCTTGTCTTTAAGTTTTTTGGCTTCTTTCAATGTATTAGATGCAGTCTGATCGGAGGATTTCGTTCGTTCTTTTAATGCCTTTGACTCTACTGCATCATCACTTTTAGGGGCATCGGCGGAAAGCTGATGAGAATTGCCCGCCCTAGAAGAAACTCGTAAAGAGTCACCACCAAGACATGACGGTTCTTCTTTGCATCCACCTCTTTCTACTGTTCTCAGAACACCTTTAATCCCTGCTTCAGAATCCCGCCTTCGCTTCATATGAAGTCCAACACCTCTATTTGACCTCTGATCTTCATAACCCTTGAGGTTTCGAGGGGATTTCAATCCTTCAGCACCGACATGAATCGCCTCTTTTTTAGTTAACTTTATGCCATGCTTTTGCGGAATACTTCCTTCAATTTCACCTGTCCCATTTGGACAAGCTGCATTGTGGTAGGAATCAACCTCTGGTACATATGTCGTGCTCTTCTTTGAGCGCTTGGACATTCCATCAGAAGCCTTCAACTTATCAAGCTCCACATCAGACGAGATACTTTTGTCCTTCTCATTAGAAGCCGGAAGTAGAACCTTATTCTCTGTGCAAAACTCGTTCTTGCGTTTCTTGTGGCTCGGTTCCACACTGTCGCCTATATGATTATTGCAAAACCTAGGCTGATCAAGGCTGGATGTCTTAATGGGAGATGATGAAACTGATACAACAGGAGACACTTTCACTGAAAATTTGGCTTTAGTTAAATGAGGTTGAGAAACATTTGATGAGGTAGAGTTAGCTGCCACTGAAACTTGTCGAACACCTAAATTCCTCTTTGGTAACTCCGTACCAGCAGAAGTTTGTCTATGAGTAATCTTATTGTTTGGCATTTTCGGTTCCTTATCCTTGCCGATTTCTTCCGTACCACCAGCAAAACCATTTGACACATTGGATTTCTTTTTCTTATTCAATCTTTCACAAGTTTCTTCCTTTGATAGCACAGGTTCATGAAGTGAACTGTTATGAGATTTTTGAACATCCTGACAATCCTTCAGTTTCCTTTTGTTTGTGCAAGCACTTCTATCATTAACTTGATCAACAGAGGAGATACCAGCTGTTTCTCCCCATTTCTTCGATGAAATTTTCATTTCATTGTCCACGTTCAATTTGTTGTGCATCTTTAAACCAACGTTACCGTGCTTCAGCATAACTTCCCCACCTTCCATATTTGATATAGAAGGATCAGAAGAATATCCAATTATCTTTTAAAAAAAGATAAATCTAGAAGACAAGATTGAATATTTACTTTCTAATGAACAGCTCACCTCTATCAATGGATTTTTCTTTCAGCTGACCTCTGTTCTTTCCCTCTACCAAGTTGTGCAGGTCACTAGAAGAATGATCCCTTGAATTTCTCAATTGATCCGGAGGATTACTGAAACCATTAAGACCTTTATTTTTCCTCAACTCTAGCTGCTGGTTTTTCAGAGAACTTTTGACATGACTCTGATCATTTCTGCTAACTGGATTTTGTATTTCCTTCAAAGTATCTTTCCTTTTTCCTTGCTTTGAAGTATCACGTGATGTTAGTCCATTGGCATGTTTCTGCGAAACATCTCCACTCCCGGGCAATGGTAGCTGGTACAAAGCATAAAGCTTCTCCGTTGTCTCCTCCTCGCTAATGTCACATCGGTTCATCCCAGGGCTATACAATTGCAACAGAGTGAAATGGTAAGATAACATTAGCAAAACAATAGAATAAGAAAATCAAGGAATAAGAGGTCAGAAGAAAAAAAATATATTATCAATAAAGAAATCAAACTTTTAAACATAGAAGCACCATCAACTTAAACTGTTCTTTTTTGTCAGAGAAAAAAACAGAAAACTTACAGCCAATTAAGCATGCTGCACAACCATTTTTCAGGAAGTTTGGGTTTTTTCCCAAAGGGCAAAAGGCGCCACTTTTGGCAACTGTCACAGCATACCCATTCATCGACAGGAGCCACCACTGCTGGTTCAACCACCATCGAGGATTTGGACGTTTTGTTTTCACTGTCATCTGATCTTTTGACCTTTCGCAAGTCACCAGAAGCCCTGTCAATTACACCCTTACTTTTACGGTTTCCATCTAGCCCCGAGCTGTTAAAAGAACCTCTATTGATCGCTCCTGCTTTCTGATTGCTGTATAAGATATAATTAAGTCATTAGTAAATTGAATACAGATCGGTTAAATCATAGATTCAGTATGTAAAACTTCTTTCTGGGTGGTTGTTAGATTTCATTATATTCATAAATTTTAGGTTAATGTACTGAGACTTTTGAAAACCAACCTGTGCCTTCTATTTTCTGATTCAGGAGTGTCAGCATCAGTGTCCTTCCTAATTTTTGATGCTTTACTCCTAAACTCAAAGCCTTTCTCGACTGAACCAGCTGTTTTCCTACTAGCAGTCTGTGGCACTCCTAATTTCTTCTTGCCAACAATTTCAGACTTTTCTTTCTTAATTGATCCTTTGTCTGTGTCTGTTTCTGCTTTGTGCAGTGTAGTTTTACAAGAAAGCTTCTTCTTTTGTGGGTCCAAGTAAGCACTAGGCATCATACCCTCGGAAACAAGTTCGAATGGCAGCTTATTAGAAACGAAACTCTTGCTTTCAAAAGCCTCATTTTCTAATTTTCCATTCACGAGAGTAGTCGTCTCCTTCCCAAGAGAAGCACAAACTTCGTTCTTATAACTGACATGCCTTTCTATATGCCTCACCTCCTTTTTCTTATTCTCAACCAATGTACTGTCGGTCTCATCGGCTAGCTTCGCCAAACCATCTTTTTTATCCTTCGGGAAAAGCACGTATTTGGTTTCTTGAAGCGGTTTTTCTTTTCTTGACAACCCAAGTAGGCTCTCGTGAAGAGGTGATATCAATGCTCCATCAGGCACTGGGAAAGCAGTCATCTCCTGTCCAAAGGAGATAGAGAGAGTGCGCGGTAAGCATACAAATGGCTGTTTGAATTGAAAAATTATAGAATCAGTAGAACCGTCACCTCAATTATCTTAGTCAGAGACTCATCCGGTGGGCATTGAGATATGGGCAGCATCCCTTCATTGACGTCAGAGGTTTTTTCTGATGAAGGTGGAGAGTCATCAAGTCCAAGGCCACTGTATATTGCTGCATTTCTCAATCCAGTACTGTTAGAACCAACTTTAATTCGAAGTTTGAGCGATCTTTTGTCCATCGGACAACCTAAGCTGATTGAAGCTTCATCTTTCGAAGGGCAACTATTGGTCACTTTAGTAGCTGGCAAGCATGAATCTACTCTGCCAGAGATACTGCCAGAAGTTTCCCTTGCATTGTGAGGGGGAATAGTATTGCAGACAACAGCTTCTGGCCTCCCAGGTGGTGGAACTTTAGGATTCTGAGAAGAGCCCTGCACATACACGGCCATATAGCATAAAGAATTTGGGATTAGTTATATCATTTATATATAATCAGTGTTACTCTATTATATTTTTCACATGTAATAGCTAAAATAATTAGAATAGTTTTCGTGTACCTTCAAGAGCACATTATCCGGAGATGGTGCTGCCTTGCATTCTCTTTGTTGATTACTCTGGTGAGGCAAAATGGAAGGACGATGCTCGTATGTAGGCAAAAATGAGCCATAACCACCAAACTTTGACCCTAATAACAATTAGAACCCCATATATTATTATTTTAAAATGCAACGATCATCTCAATCTGTCGTTTTGTGGTCTATGAAAGCAACTCACCTAAGTTTTCAGCTGAAACTCCCCTTTCGAAGTCCTTTTGGAAATGACCAAGAAAACGCTCAATCTTCTCATCCTAAAAATACAAGAAGTGAAGTCTAGTTAATTCAGATGAGCCAAAAATTATGAGTACTTACAAATAGAAAAGAAAAAAAACGGCTAAACTTCTTTTTCCGGGTTACTAGACAGGCCGACCATAGAAAGAAAAGTGGCAAGGTTTTTCCAGAATGATAATTTGGATGCTTTTCAAACAAACGAACTCATAATGTTATACATTATTTAGTTCAATTTCATTTCATTTCAACTGATCAACAATGGAAATTGTTTACCAATTCTTTCCAAGCAAACAAACTAGTAATTTTATGCCCTTCTGAGTTCCACCTAATTCAAGTTCAACTGATCAACAATTTAGTTTCATGAGTTCAATTTACTTCCTTCCCCATGATTTCCCCTTAATCAAACTCTATACTAATGGATACAAACAAAAATCAAAAATCAAAAATCAAATACGCATGTTTCAAATAATTCACTGTGCCAATCAAGAAACAAGTCGCAGTCCGTCAACAAATTCCAACGCTTAAGAGAATACCCTTACAATGTAAGAGAGAGTAATATCAGGGTCAACATCACGGCCACTCTCCTTGTAATAACAAGAAGCTTCGCCATCTTCCATGCCAATGGAATCCTTCATCATCATCATTGGCTCCATAGAGCCCACCATTAGATGTGAACCAAAAACCCTAGTTCCAACAATCATTGTCCCTAAAATCCAGCATCGTTTTAATAAGAAACAAGAACGATAAAACAACAATACTCAGAAACAACTTCTGTCGAACCAAAGTCGGAAACGAAACCTTACTTCGGAGAAGCGGAATCGATATCGGCTTCTCTTGAACAGGACGATCGTCAAATGGCGATCGCACTGTCGATGCTGTTCGAGTAATTCTACAAAAACCCTCCCAAAAACAGATTAATCGAAACGGAAAAGAAAAGGTTCCGTTGGGCTTCTGAGAGTGCTAGAACTACGGAAAATTCCCAGTTGTGGAAGAAAAAAAAATCAATGATCCTAACGAACGAAAATTGGGGTTTGGATTTTGCGGGGGATTTTAGTAGATTCTCAAGTTACAATTTCGTTTTGAGTTTCGGAAATCTTTTCTCCCACTCGCCGCCTGATGAAAATATTATTTCATTTATGACCCAAAATTCCCTACTCCCGGATGCGAGTGGGTTATTGGAGCGTGTAACTATGAATTTTTCCGTTTAAATACTCCCTTGCTCACTCAGTATTACTCTATATCCAAATTCATTAAATAATAATAATATTTTTTATTTTTTTATTTTTAAAAAATTTAATGCCAGCTAATATACCAAAATAATAATTTAACTTTTATTACTAATTAATAATTTAACTTTTGTTAGGAGATTAAATTAAATTCAAGAAAATTGGAAATTAGTAGATATTAGTAAATAAGATTTAATAAGATTAATTCTTGGTTGAATTATAGTTCAAATTTTAATTTATAACTTTTCTACTCACGAGATCAAAATCGTCGTGTTTCTAATTAAAAATAAGCTTTTTATCTAATTTTTTTTGTCGTGTTCTTAATTATTTTTAGATTATTCATAGCTAGCCATAATCAAATTTGAGAGTTCAAACATAGTCGAGCACAAATTTACAAAAGCTCAAACCTTTTCCAAAATATATTTAGTGCGTGCTAATTTTGGTAAATATCAAAACCTTTTTTATTATAATTGAAATATTGTAATAGTAATTAATTTTAAGGATTTTTGCGTTGGTATTAATTTATATGATATTAAAAATGTAAACTAATTTTCGTTTCGTTTCCTTTTCGTTTGTTTCGAAAAATATATCGACCAGTTTCGATTCTTTATTTTTCTACTGATTCTTTTCTGATCAAGATGTATGGATCCATAGACCTATGTGTATTGTGTTTATGGATTAACAAAAATGTGCAAAAGTTCTGTTTGCCTCTGTCATTATATTCCTTCTTTACGTATGTGTGGTAGGATCTATTTGCCTCGAAATTTCAACCGGCTTTAATATATTGGTATTATTTATATATTAGGGTTTCAACCCACTCTAATATATTGGTATTATTTAAATATTAAGTTTGGAGATATCTCTCCTTTCTGTTTATCGATTTTATCATATATATATATATATAGATAATTATATATATCATATATTATATATTGACAGGATAGATAAAAATAATTAAAAGATAAAAAGAGGGCTCTTTTTTTTCAAGCCTTCCTTTTCTATTTTTTAATTAAATATGATATTTTAAAGATTTTCCAAAATTAACAATTAAAAAATTTAGAAAAAACTCGAATTTTTGTTAATTTACTATTGTAATATAAAAATAACCATTTATTTATTTTATTTTATTTTATTGTAAGGAGGGCAGGAGTGAATAAATGTAGAGAGAAATTTTCTTTCCCAAATAAAATAATTTTGGTATAATACCACACTGATAAGATTTAAATTCAATCTAATGGTTGGAATTTTATAATTTTGAATTCAAACTTTCGATAAGATTTTTTTAAATATCATATTTAAAAAATAATTGTAAGAGAGAGATTTAAATTATAATCAAATAGAAAATTAATTTATAAAAATAATAGATTTAAAATTTAAATTAAAAATATATTGTTCAAGAATTTAAAAAACATAAGTATCTCTACATAATCTTAATCTATCGAACTCAATTTAATTTCATAATTATAAAAAATTTAAAAAAAAAATCTTAAAAGGCACTATTTGATAGAGAATATTATATATTTTTATGAATTTATATATTGCATGTTTTCAAAAGTTTTTTAAGTGTTAAAAATTACTAATATATATATATTTTTATAATTAAATTGTCAACGCAAACTTTAAGATGACACTACTTCTATTAAGAATAAAAAAAAAATTCCACAATTTAAAAATAACATGATATAATTAATATTCAAGTTAAAAAATTTATTTTGTATTTATAACTAATTAATTAATATTCAATAAACAGACCAACCAAACTCGATAAAATGAGCTAAAATCGAGAGTTGTGTCATAGATTTAGCTCTTAAAAGTGGAGCTAATTTGGCTCAATCTGACTTCAATTTGCAAACTGATACGTTGAGGGTCGGTTTAATTCAATCACTAGCGTGATCCAGCTGTATTAATTTTCACCACAAACTTTTCATTTCATAAACTCGATGCTATCATATTATATGTCCTTTAAATTATTGTTTGAACATAATATTCTCGTACATCAACTATATACTGTTCAAGATTAAACTGAGTTAAATTTTTTAAACAATTAAATTATTAATCTCCATTAAATACACTTAGAAATTAAGTTAGTTATGATTTAATCAAGGATTATCTCACGTAATAAATAGTACAAGATTTGATGGGTTTTTTTTTAAAAATCAACCATTAATCATTAATTCTACAATTAATTCGGTAAAAAAGAAACCGATTTGAGAATGTTAAAGCTTTACTGTTTTACCCTATTTTATTTAAAAAAAAAAAAAATTTAAAGTTACTACATTATTTTTAATTATTTTAAAAATATTTTACAACTACTTTGCAAATAAAAATAATTAGCATATTGAATAGAATTATTTTTATTCTAAAGTAGTAGCGAGACTTTAATGAAAAATAAATTAAACTTTTGGAAATAAAGAAACAAATTGAAAAGTGAATCTTTTTATAATTTAGATAATTTTTTACAGCAGAACTTGTTACTTTTCACCGTTTCAGGGCGTGGACGAGGTAAATTATGCTCTGGAGTTTTATTTTTATTTTTTAATTTATTTTTATTTTTAATTTTGTTTGTTTTTATTTTTTAATTGTTATTATTATTTATTAATTATAGTATTATTTTTCCCCTCTACATCTCTATCAGACCCGTCTCTCTGTTCTAGGGTTCGAAGTTAGATTCCGATCATATCGCTTCTCCATTTCGAGTTTCTCCCCCACTCTCTATATTGTCTTCATCTAAATTTTCCATTTTCTTTTGGTCTTCAAAAATATCTGATTAGTTGTAGGGTTACGAATTTTTTGTTTTCCAGTTCGCATCTGCATGCGATTCGAATTCGAAGGTGTTTGGCTTCCTATTTTGGTGGGTTCTTGCTCTAGTTTGTCTAGAGCTAGGGTTTTTTTCGGGGGTGGGGGTACAATTCCGCTCCTCGATGTAGGCAATGGGAGTTAGAACTTCTAATTTTTGATTGCCGAAGTCTTTTGTAGAATAATCTGGTTTCTTCGCTTCATTTTACTTTTGCCTTCCACGATTGACGATTGCTTTTGAGTTGAGACTAGCTTGTTCGTTTCGAGGATGAATAGGGTATGAGATGTCAGATTTGTAGATGTCCATATTGTAGCGTAATTTGCTCGAATTGATTTTACAGTGTATTGTGGTTTAAATTAATGGGGGCGCGATAGAAGTTTCATTGCTTGAAGACTCCATCAATTGAGCGTCGGATGTTTGCTTCCAGTATGGATACTGTGAGGGACACAGCTAGAACTGCGGGAACAATGTTAATCCCAATGCGTTTTGTCTGGCCGTATGGCGGAAGAAGTGTATTTCTCAGTGGCTCTTTCACCAGGTGATGTTCAGTTCATTGTCATCTGTACTTCCAATAATTTCTTGCTTGTTTTATTGCTGTGGAACGATTCAAGAAGGGCTATGCATATATGTATTTTGCTGTAGACGATTTTAGTAAATTACAATTGTATCTTTGATGAAGGTGGTCGGAGCTTGTTCCTATGACGCCTATGGAGGGCTGTCCTACTGTTTTTCAGGCTATTTACAGCTTAACCCCTGGATATCACCAGGTCAGATTGCGGTGGTTGCATAAGGCATTTTAAACTGTTCATATATCATTTTTCTAGGGACTCTTCGGATATATGATGAATCTACGCTAACCTTAGCTTTTTGCTGTGCTTAATTTCACTATAATGTTAGATGTCTGTTTAAACATTACAAAATGTTAGTTTAATAAGCTTTGAATAGTTTAAAATGTCACTTAGCTGAAGCTGATGTTTCTCAAGGGAAAAAATGACTTCCTGAAATGAATAAATTAAACAGAGTTATTGCTATTTTGACTTCTCTGGTAAGTTGGTAACTGTGTGTAAATGATCAAGGTCAAAATATGAAAATAAGAGCTATAATATACTGCACTGCGCATGTGTTTTTTGAAAATGAATTTTCCAGTTATTGATTCTGTAATCATAGTTATTCTCGCCATGCTAAGTAATATTGTTGATCTTTTTTTACATGTTCATCTCATCTACCAGCTATTTTAGGTAGTAATGCTATTTTTCTAATTATTTCCAAATTACTGTTCCATGTACTCCAACAATGAGAAATTGTAATGCTGAGCTATTGAGTTGAGATTATATGATGAAAATTTTTATTCAAGATACTATGATTTGTTGTTTTTTTTTTCTTATGTAGTTTGTTATGCTAATGTGCACAAGTAAGGTTTGTTGTGGATGCAGTATAAATTTTTTGTTGATGGAGAATGGCGACATGACGAGCAGCAGACTTGTACTCCTGGTGAATATGGGATAGTGAACACTGTTCGCTTGCCTACAGAGCCTAGCTATGCTGCTCCACCTGCCAATCCAGAGATGACCCCTGGATCTAGCATGGATGTGGATACTGATACATTCCGACGCCTGGTTAGAATTATTTATACGCTGTTGCTCCTTTCATTGTATTTATACGCCGGGTTAAGTTATTGGTGTATAGTTACTTATAGTTACTGGGATTGCGGTGTAAGATTTATACTCTCACTGCTCCTTGTATCAGATAATTGAAATTCTTTGTTTATCATCAAGGTCCGAATAAATGATGGATGGCTGTCAGAGGCTGTGCATAGTGTATCAGAGGCTGATCTGCAGTGCTCCCGTCACCGTATATCTGCATTCTTGTCCACACATACTGTTTACGAGTTGCTCCCAGAGTCGGGCAAGGTTTGAAATGTCAATCTTTTAAACTTTTGTATGATACCATATTTGTACTAAATGTTTTCATCTACTCATGGGAGCACAATTATGTCACAGGTTGTTGCTTTAGACATTGACTTACCTGTGAAGCAAGCTTTTCACATATTGCATGAGCAGGCAAGTTCTTTTTCTCCTTTTCTCCCCTCCGTTTGGTGGGTAGAAAACCTTTGCAATGATTAATCTCTGTGCATGAAGGAGAAAATACAATCTCTCTTTTTGACTTCCCTTTCTTATGCCCTTTGTACAGATGAAATAATTTAGACATTTATTATTTTCTATTTATCACCTATTTAATGTACGTCTTGGTGTTCAAGAGATCTGGATTTATACCTTGTCTTTATTAACTGTTTACAGGGTATCCCAACAGCTCCTCTTTGGGATTTCAGCAAGGGGCAATTTGTTGGAGTTCTCAGTGCATCAGATTTTATTTTAATATTAAAAGAAGTATGTGTAGAAGCATTTCCGACAACCCCCCCCNCCCCCCCCCCCCACACACTTTTTCTCCCCCCAAATTGGATGTTGTAGATATTTTCTCGAAGTCTTTACCAAATTTCTTTCGAGTGTTAGCATGTAAATGTGATTGACAGGATCTAATTATTTTGATTAATCTTGTTGGGGCATCATACATATGACTATAGAATTGTTGCTGTTTCTCATTCATTTATATGTTCGTAGTTTATAATTTCATTCCAAATATACTAATATAAATTTGAATCGTAGCTTGGGAAGCGTGGCTCAAACCTGACAGAGGAAGAGCTTGAAACACATACTATATCTGCTTGGAAAGAGGGTAAAGCATATTTGAACGGTCAAGTGGATGGGCAAGGAAGATTCTTGTCAAGACAATTCATTCACGTGAGTGTAATATGCGGCAAATTTGAATCTTTGCATAAAGTCAGCTTTGGAACGAATTTGTTGCTACTGTGGTTTAATTTATTCCAGAATTTTGATTGGCAGTAATATCCAAAGAGAAACCAATTGATGTTTTCTTATGTCTTCATGTGAATGTAGCCTTTACATTTAACTCAAATTGGAATTGAGTATGACCGAACTTAGATTGCGAATTAACAAATTCTTGAAATATATAACTCATTTTCTTAGGTGAAGTGTGATATCACAACATAAGGGTCTAACTTATGTCGAGATCATAGAACTATTGAACTCTCTTCTGGAGAGATCATAGAACTATTGAACTCAAGTATTGTAGGAAGTTCCTAATTTTTTGTTTCAGAGGGTTGAAAAGCTTTAGCATTGTGTTTAAATGGCTCCTGACTTTGAATCATAGCACTCTCCTGCTTTGAAATATTAATTTAAACTGAAATTGTTATCTCTGATGTCATGATCCATATACACCACCAGTTAATATCTGATGTCACATTATCTTATTAAAGGTGAATTTGCCCTGTTTACTCTTATGTAATCTCTCTTTCAGTTGTTTTCTGAATTTTTTCGATTTAAAACATTTATGCGACCTTTACTAGTTAAAGACTGCTTTATTGACAAGGGTCTTTGCACTAACCTGTCAGAAAGTTGTGTTAACTCTGTTATTGTTGCTTATGTAGGCTGAACCATTCGATAATTTGAAGGATGTTGCTTTAAAGATATTGCAAAACCAGGTGGCTACAGTTCCCATAATCCATTCATCTGCAGAAGATGGTTCATTTCCACAGTTGTTGCATCTTGCTTCACTTTCTGGAATTCTAAAATGTAAGTGTTTTCCAAATTTCTTACATTAAAAATGGAGCTTCCACTGATACTAAGTAATGGGTGTTAGTTTCCAGGTATCTGCAGGTACTTTAGGCATTGTTCCAGCCTGTTGCCTGTGCTTCAACTACCAATTTTTGCGATTCCAGTAGGCACATGGGTCCCAAAAATTGGAGAATCGAATAGAAGGCCATTAGCTATGTTGAGACCTAGTGCTTCTCTTAGCTCAGCGTTAAACTTACTGATTCAAGGTTCACACTCAAACCTTATACTGTAGGATGGTTTTACTTTGGTGATTCAGATAGGTGGCCTTTCCTTATAAGAAGAGGGATCGCTCTCGTGGATAACTGAAGGGTCTTAGAAAAGGTTCTTTCAGATCTGGTCTTCTTTTTGGCCATCCATCACCCCGATCTAGTGCTATAAAATGATAAAGTCCATATCATGAAGTGGGAAAAGTTGTGTAATTGTTTTGGATTTTAAAACTTCAATGACGAATGGGGAGATTGTAATTTGACATTGTCCTGCTTGTTTGATCAAGTTCTTGTCAACTATCTTCATGTCTGGTACATTGGCATATTTCACGTACTCATGGACCACATATTTTTTTTGGATAGTGGTGTGCTTATATTTCCCTGATTGATCTGGTGTGTGGAGAAGGCCATATATAGTCTAATAGCTGGCCTTATGTGGACAGGCTAACTTCAAGAATTTATGATGCATCCATACTTCCACTCTGTTTTTTGGGGACGTGATGTTGCATTTGAAGTTATGATGTATGTTTTATGATTATTTTATTGATTTCATTTGACATAGCATTCTGCAACTTGCAGCTCAAGTTAGTTCAATACCCATAGTTGACGACAATGATTCATTGCTGGATGTATATTGCCGAAGGTTATTTGTTGCCACATCTTTGTTTAGTCATCTTAAATTTTTTAATCAGGTTTATTTGAATGAAAATATGTATTATAATATCATTACTATTTTTTTACAGCGATATAACAGCTCTTGCAAAGGATAGAGCTTACACACACATCAATCTTGATGAAATGACCATTCATCAGGTAACTTGTTCCCATATTCCCTAGTATCTCATTTTAATACAAATCAGTAATATCTAGAGATGTGAGTTGGCTCTCTTTCTCATCTGTTTGTTATTTGTGGGGTTGTACACTGCATAGAGGAGGGTTTTAATATATTTTAAAACTCCATTGGCTGTATTCTGGGGGATTTCCTCTTCCTTCTGTTCTTTAAACGGAGAAAGGAATGGTGAAGTGTCAAACATGCATCAATTTATCGTATATGTATAAGAAAGTAAATTAATGAAATCGATGCAATTTCAATGGTTGTAGATGGCATCGATGATAATGGGAAAGCTTGGGGTAAAATTTCAATGATAGGAAAGGCTTGATTACAAGCTAATCATTGTTAAATAGCCCATCTCATGCCATTGCAATTTTTTCCTAGCCCACTCATCATCTGTTATTTATGCAGTCCATCGATGAATGCACGCCATATGTGCACTCAATATTGAAAATTTTCCATCGTTTTTGTATCTGGTTCCTCCCAGGCATTGCAACTTGGACAAGATTCTTTTTCCCTTTATGAGCCACGGAGTCAACGATGTCAGATGTGTTTGCATTCCGACTCGTTGCATAAAGTGATGGATCGCTTGGCTAACCCAGGTTAGACAATCATCATGTCTTCATGATGAGATTAATTAATTACAGAGATCATTATCTTTTGTGTATGGGTAATTGAACTTTGAAGTAATCCCTCTTCCTAAATGAACTTTCAGGCGTTCGACGGCTTGTAATCGTGGAAGCTGGCAGCAAACGGGTAGAAGGGATAGTTTCACTAAGCGACATATTCAAGTTCTTGCTTGGTTAAGTTAGTTCGAAGACATGACGTAAAAAAGGATCCAGAGGAGTTTGTGCAAAAGAAGATGCATAGAGGAAGATTGTACACTATCATCTGCATAGGTTGCTAGTGATGGGGAAGGAGACTTTGAGTTCTTCATTTGGTTGGATTTATCCTCTCACTTCCATCGCCTGGCTTTTGAAGGATTTTAGGGCGGAGTGGAGAAAAAGAGAGGGCCACAGTAAAAAGATTAAAAAAAAAAAGTAAAAAAAGTACAATCGGGAGGGATTTGAATAGCTTTCGAATTTCTCAAACTCCCCCTTTTCCATTTATCATTATTTATATTATGCTCTGCCTTTCCTGCTACTAATGTAGATTATTGGGAGATGATGATGATGATGATGGGGATTGTTACCAAGCTCTGTTCTTTCATGCGTGAAAAAAGGGAGCATTGTGCAGAGAGGGGAGGGGGCGGGAATTCTGTGCTTTTTATTAACACGTCATTGACTTTTGTATTTCATTTTTTTTTTCCCTTTTTCCTTTTGGATTGAAAATCTTATTGTAATCTTGAAATTAAAGAGAGCTAAGGCAATTGACTCGTAGCAGCATCCCCCATTAAACAAATGACTGGCCCACTCATTTTGTTTCTTCTCTTTTCTTTCCTTTTGTTTGGGGATCAAATCGTTCGTGAGGTATAGGGCCTTATTTATAGCCCTCCAGATATTGCAAATGCTCGTAGCATTCTCTTTAAGTTGCTCCCTAAAATACTTTTGGTATTTTCACTTGAATGGTAGAAGTAATCCAACAAGTCTTACAGAGTTTATAATAGCTAGGCCTCTTATAAAAATACAGCCGACGGTGCCTAAAAGAGGTGGACTGTAAGATCGCCTAAAAGGGATGGATTGTAAGATCTCACATCTATTGGAGAGCTCTCCTTAGTAGACATGTTTTAAAATCATGAAGCTAACGGCAATACATAACTGGCCAAAGTAGATAATATCTATCAATGGTGGTGAAGTAGACAATATCTATCAACGGTGGTAGTATGAGTTCCTAATTGACAGAATCAGATACATTCAATAATTGCTTCAATTTAAACCATTTTCAAAAAGAGATCCTTTCCCATCAGAGTCTCACCCTCTCACAAAGGAAATTGACAGACAATTTTGATGGATGGGGCCTTCAAAAGTTGCATCACTGCCAATTTTCCACCAAAATTCATCAGCAGAATACTACCAGCAGTTACACTACCAGAACAACATCTACGTTTTATAGCCCTTCAACTCCCTTGAAGGTTACTTGGATTTTGTGTCGTCATTTTCTCTTAATCCAACGAGAACCTATTGCTTTGATGGACTTTTTTGAAACTATTTTCAAAAGCATTAGACATTTTAGAACAAAAATTTACAGGCAACTGATTTAAGCTTGCTTCATCAAATGACTCTTGCTTTCTCAAATGCACAATAACCTTGCAAAATAACAATGTGAGATCCCACGTTGGTTGAAGAGAGGAACGAAACATTTCTTATAAGGGTGCGGAAACCCTCCACAATAAAGGCGTTTTAAAATCGTGAATCTCAAAGCAGACAATATCTGCTAACGGTGGGATTGGGCTGTTACACAATTCAGTCTTTCTAAATACCCCTAAGTTTACTATGAGGTCTGGGAACTCTATAGCTATTGGGTAACCAATAATTGACATTTCTGCCAATCCTTCAGCAAACCAACAGACTCTTATAAATCACGGCAGAGCTTAATGTTAATCTAATGTTTATGAGCAATCAAGAATCAGTCTTTCGCAGCAAAAAACTTGTAATGAAACAGAGTAAACTATCAGTCAAGATATTCAGGCATTGCATTTCATGCAGTTTAACTTAGCAAAATTAGTGCAATAAAAGAAAGCTGAACTTGGAACTCACAGTATAAAGTGAAAGCCTCAAATTTCATAATCGATTATCCCACCATCCACATTTTCACGATACAGCTTCGATAGCTGAGGAGCCTCTTTCAGATGAGGATGAACAAACTTCTGCAAGAACTGAGTTTCAGTGTACATATATGGTTTTACCAACATGGTTTTTTTCTTAGTCAAACCTTTCTGAAACAGAAACAGCAGTACTGAAGCTCTTGGAATTGTTCTCTTTTTTAAGCTAAATGAAAGCAGCAAAGGACTCCTGACAATCGCTGCAGTTTCCCAGCCTAATTTGTTGACAAAGAAATCCATTGCCAACATAATTTTTTCCTCTGATAATGTCATACACCATGGATGGCTCCTAAATGCAGCAAGAATCTGTTCTTCAGATAAACCCCACCTCTTGTAAATACCAAGCTTCCGTACCCATGTCGATTTGCTCATTGCTCGTATAGCAAAAACAGCTTGAACAAAGCTAGATTTCGATGGATCAAATCCCATTTTCTTCACATCTTCCAAAATCTCCCTAAACCTGTCTAGAGCCATAGTGAACATTCTCGGCTGGTAAAAAAGAAAAAACACAACACGCGCCTCAGGCACGCCGGCGTCGAGCAACATTCTAACAGATCCGTTCAATTGTTTTTGGTGAATATCCGCAATGATACTCGGAAAGCGTTTGATTGATGCGATAGTTCGCTCATTAGATCCAAGATAACCTTTCAAAAAATCAAAAGCAGGAACCAGATGTTCATCAACGCTTCTCATCAAGATTTTCGGAGCCTTGGAAATAATCTTCGTGACTTCGGAACTCGAAGCACCTCTGGTGTAAAGAAACTCAAGCTTAGGCAAAAGAGTTCCATTCGGATTAGACAGCAGAATCCGAGGGTATTTCCAGATAATGAACGAGATATTAGCAATAGAAAAGCCGTGATTCTTGAAGAAAGAGATCACCAAATCTGGTTTTTCAGGAGAAGTGAAGCTAACGAGCTTTGAAGCAGATGAAGCAGATTCAGGAGACAACGAGCATGAGTTTATGAGATACGAAACCGTAAAAGAATGTGAATCGGAAGCGACAGTGCTGTAGTTGAAGTGGAGTGATTGAACACAGCGGAGCTTTGGATATGGCGAAATCGTGGTGAGATGCCGAACCTGAAGTAGGGTTTTGCAGAGGAAATTAGACATTGAAGCCGAATTTTGAAGAACAACGAGATGTTCTCGCCTGGCCTCACTTAGGCAAAAGGGTGAATTGGACTAGGGCTCACCCAATTTTCAAGCAAAAGAGTGAATTGGACTGGGGCTCACCCAATTTTCAAATTGGGAACAACTTTCAAAACGAGTCAACAGCTTCAATTAGCTTCTCATCTCTTCAGGTTGATTTTTGTGAAATTTCTTATACCCTATTTTTATTTTGTTATTTAAACTTTTAGTCTAACTTAAACCTATACACTCCTCTTAGCACCAAGCGAGTTAAGTCAATTTAGGATCACTCTCAGCACCAAGTGAGTTAAGCTAACTTGTCTAACTTAAATCTATACACTCGCTCTCAGCACCAAATGAGTTAAGTCAACTTGTCTAACTTAAACCTATACACTCGCTCTCAGCACCAAGTGAGTTAAAGCCAACTTTCGAATTAAGTCAACTTAGGATCGCTCTCAGCACCAAGTGAGTTAAGCCAACTTGTCTAACTTAAACCTATACTTACCCTCAGCACCAAGTGAGTTAAGTCAACTTAGGATCGGGTTGCCTACGGCCAAACAACTTATGTTTAAGCCTTTGGGCCCGTTTTGAAAAACCCATTTTGAAAAAAAAAAAAAAAAGAGTGAGTTAAGCCAACTTTCGAGTTAAGTCAACTTAGGGTCGCGTCGCCTACGACTAGACAACTTGTATTCAAGCCTTTGGACCCGTTTTGAAAAATCCATTTTAAAAAAAAAGTTTTAGAAAATGGGACATAGAAATTTGGAATGAAGGCAACATACCAAGCATAGATTTTAGACATGTAGCCATGGACAACACATCTTAAACAAACATGACCGTGGCGCGTTGCAATTTCTTCTTTTGTAGACATATTGAAAATAATCTAGGACGGAAAGAAAAAGACTTCCACAAAAAAAGATTCGAAAAGAATTATCAACTCGAAAGGTTTTTATGCTTGAATAAGAAAGAAAGAGTTACTCGATATGACTGACAAAAAGTGGCCTAGTTGAAGTTCAACTAGTCAATCAATTAAGGGTGATAGCATTCTAAATTTATAACAAGCCTGTACACTAATACATTACAAATCTTTAAATATCAAGTAGTGCAAAAAAAAAAAAAAAAAAGAAGAAAAACTCTCTTTTAACTCGTTCTCCTCTACACCTGAACTTCCTCCATTTCAAATTACACAATACCAACTTATTAATGCTCTAAATGTTCGAATAAATACATGAGCCACAAAGCAATGGAAGTACTAATAGAAAGTAATCAAGCATCAAGTCCATTACCCTCGGAGCTGTCCATGGGGTGAGGCAAGGACGGGGAAGGCTCAATCAGCAACGAGTCAATTACATACACCATTTAACGAGACGATTTGGGTGCAAAAGAAATACAACGTATGAATAATAATACTATCTTCAGAGCCTTATGTGGTGGCGTGCAGGCTACATAATCTTTGTTTCCAAGTGTCTTTCTTCCAGGTCAGGCTAGAAAAACGACGACCCCGATCGAGCAACGACTCCAATCCATTCGTTGTTGGGGAGATCATCCCACAACCAGAGAGAAGATCAGTACTAAAATGTATCCTCAAACAGTCTTTTCCCGAATGATTTGCAGGTCGAATGGAAATCATTGAGAAATCAATTAGCGATGTGTGGGAAAAGATGCACCAAACTAACACACCCGAACTGCAGATCGTGTTTGAAATCTTCGGCAGCAGAAGAAATCTTAGTTCTTTCATCCAGGATAATGTAAGAATATGAAATTGCATCCATGCCACGATTCTCGTCCCTTACTATTACATTTTCTTCCTATTAATGTCAATTCATTTCAAATATAACCAGCTACCCACAGGAGAGATGAGTATAACATACCTCTTCAAACAGATTCTTCGCTACAATTAATCCATGGTTCTATATTCAACCACAGAATCATACTCTTCCATGCGTAATGAACTTCCTGCAAAACATCTGAGAGGAAAACTTTCTAAATAAAAATGGCAGTAGAAAAATGATGAGCATAAAAGATGCAGTCTTGTATTGTGATAAAGAAACAAACACTACTCGCGGGAGCTTTATGAGTGAACCAGTCGTGATTATGTTGTAAAGGAACTCGTGATATTTTAATTTCTTAGGCAGGTGGCCATCATAAATTTCGCTAGTAGGAGGGGATGAAGGCGAGATATAATTTAGTTGTTTGTGCTCAAGTACACTCAAGAGGGAGGTGTCCGAGATTCTCAAAATACTCGACATTCTTCTGTATTTTCTTGTTTGGTAAGTCATTTCATTTCTCTGAATTCTATCAAAATCCATTCCTGCATTTTCTTACTCCATATATAAGAGGGTTGCTCCGAGCAAGTTAATACAGTAAGTCAATAGCCAAGGATAGTCTGGGACATTGCTTGAAAGGAGATGAGGATTAGTTATATTTTTGCATTCGAGCTAGA